CAAAATGCGATGTCCCCATCGCACGACTGGTTTTCACTCAGAGGTACGCAGACCTTGGTCTACCAACGAGTAGGCGGATGCTGACCCATCAGCCCCAAAAAGGAAGGGTGATCAGTCCTCCCCCTGCTGATAACTCACCTCATCCCCTACTCCGTCCGACCTTTTGCCGCTTACGAGACGGGCATCATCACTGAGGTTCCTCCTCATATCTGGTAGGCAGGTCCAGTCCAAAACCTCCCAGGACCCCGTCTTGCCGCAAGGGCTTTCTCGCGAATCGTTCCTCCCGGGTGGTGTTTTCTTGGATCTGCCCTCTTCCTTTCAAGAGAGTTGGGGCTCTCAATTAATTCACGAGTGCAGTTACGAAGACCTCGCAATTAGTCCCGAAGCGGTTGTAATGCTCCGGCGGGGCGGTGTTACTCGCCCCGTGGTGGTTGTGGCTTCCACCCGGTACCACGCCCAACTCCTCCCTTCTGGATAGTGCTGCTCAACTTAACGCGAGCCGCCGTGGTCCATTCCAAGCGGCCATGCCGCCCCTCAACGACATGGCGTGTGGTTGGGGAGAACAAAAGAGACTAGAAAAAAAGAATGGCTCTCTCGCTCATTTGGTTCCCTCACCCTTTGACATTTAGGCGTTCAACACGAGGTGCAATTTGAACTTCCCGACTAGAGTTCGTTGTCGGGGTCAGTTCCGGACGTCCCGCACCGATCCAAGTGGTAGGTGCCTTGGTCCTTTAACCCTCATCCCCTTACAAGAGGAACAGGTCGCGCTGAGACTTTCTCCGTTACAGGGATAGAGGTCTTGGGGTCGCGGTGCGAGCACCGGTATCCCCCTCCTGCTGAGGCCAAAGACTAGAAAAAGAGAAAGTCCATTTCAATGCTATTTCCAAGTCCATTTCAAGTTGCCTAGGGTCCCCTGCCTATGCAAATGCAATATTCAATCCTCAATCATTCAATCCAATGCTATTTCCAAGGCTGATTCTCATGGCTGGTCTGACAACCTCTTATCAACAAAGCCACCCTCACGGCTGGTCTGGCGGTCATTCTCTCAATAGCCATTTCTCAAGACTGACCCTTCCGCCCACTCAATTCTCAATTTTCTCATTCCTCAACACCCAATTTCTGTGACCGTCCCAACGGTCCCTGCCCTTCTCGGCTTTAAGGCTCCGCCTTCTTTATCTTGTCATTCTCTTTCGCATTTTCCTTTCGCCCCCTTGGCAATTTTCAGTGGCCGACCCACCGGCCTTTTCCATTTCCTTCATTCAACTCATTGGCTATTTCAACAACCGACCCACCGGCCTTTTCCACCTCCCTCATCCATCCTTTGGCTATTTTCAACGACTGACCCACCGGCCTTTTCCATTTCTCTCATCCCATTGGCTATTTCAATGACCGTCCCACCGGACTTTCCCATCTCTTTCATTCATCCCATTGGCTATTTCAATGACCGACCCACCAGCCTTCTCCCTCTCTCTTATTCCAGCTCATTCGCAATCAACCTTTCTCAATCAACCTTTCTCAATCCAATATGCAGGGGACCCCAGTGCCTATTTCAAAAGGAATGACCCTTGTTAGGGGTCATTCCCGAACAACCTAGTTAGGGTCGTTCTTATCCATTCTCAAGTCGAATAGCCTGGTTAAGGTCATTCCTTTCCATTCTCAAGTCGAACAGACTGGTTAGGGTCATTCCTTTCCATTCTCAAGTCAAACAGCCTGGTTAGGGTCATTCCTTTCCATTCTCAAGGTTAGTGGCCTAGGGGGTGGGCCTCGAGGTTACGGATCCCATTTCTGTCTTGGAGGTTAGAAGGTGGCCATATCATCTTTTGCGTGCTGTTCTCTTCCTTCCATTTCTCACAGTAATGTACCATCCATTCCATTTCTCACAGTAATGTACCATCCATTCCATTTCTCACAGTAACGTACCATCCATTGTGTACACTCGACTTAGCGTCTAGCACTCGAGTTGGGGCTCGCGACCCCAAGCAGCACTAGCCCACCCGGCCGTTCATCCATAACAAAAGACAAGAACGCCCCTTCCATTTTCACTCTTCCTGATCTCTCAGGTTTCGGCTATTCTTAGTCTCATTCATGACTCAGTTGAATTAGGTTCCTAGGGAAGGAGTGTTCTTCACGCCCCTTAACCCATAGGTTCCCTAACCTCTCTTGTACTCGACCAATCATTCAATGTCATGGTTTGCTCGTCAATCCGTACTCAAGGTTTTCCTCTCTCAAAAGCATAGTCCTTGTTCCATCCAAAATTCACAATACGTCCTCTCCCAATTGATCTCATCCCAAATCCCATGTCTTTGTCTTAGGTACCCAAGGTAGCTCATCCAAAAGTAGCCTCAACAACTATCTTCGTGACACAGCCTTAGCTGACCCTCTTTTCACTTCCTCCTTAGCAAGCTTGCCCATATTATACACGTTCTCGTCATTCTCATATCTCTGCAGACAGAAAGCAGCGATCCTTTTCAATGCTACGTCAACACCTAGTTCATATTACTGCCTTGCGCCTCGTCTTGCCTAGTTCCTTGTCCACTTTGTTCCTCGGCAGGCTTCTTAAACCCCAGGCCGTAGGTCTTCATCCTTACAATTTTATGCAACTCAGCCTCGTTGAAAAAATCCAGTGGTGTGGCTTTCACCCCTGCCCTAGCGAGTTCCCGAGTCTTGATAATCCATTCGTGCTTGATTACATTGGTCCATTGCTGAAACCAATAACTGGGTGTTGGCCCGAACTCGTCCTTCCATCTGAAAGCCCCATCGCCTGGTTGGTGCATCGGAGGCCGCCCCTTTTCCCTTGGCCTTGAGATCTCATCCCTCTCATCCCCGTTGCTGATTTCTATGACTTCTCGCACATCTTCCTCGTCGTCCCCTTCGTCTTCAGTCTGTATGGGGCTATACCCACCAGCAAGGTTCTTTGGATCGTAGGTAAAAGGGATCTCTGTCCCCGTCCCATACCCCTCGCAGCTGTCGTGACTGCTTCGTCCTTCAAGCGGGCTCTCCCTTTTCTCCTCGTCCTCCTCACGTTCGTCGCGCATACCTTGTCCCCCCTCGCTTTCCCCATGCCAAGTCTCACGTCGTTCGCCCCTGTTGGCCCCTTCCTCGTTAGAGACCCGAGCCTTATCTCCCATTTTTGTGTTGCCTCCTTCTTCCACATTTGCCCTTCCTTTTTCGCCCTCACTGTCGGATGATATTTCTATACCTTCTCCCTTGCGGAGGGGTGAGGGTTTCCTACACAAACATTTCCTTCCACCCCTGCCTACCACTGACCCGCCCATGAGCCCAATGTACAATTTTTTCTTCGTTGTCCTCCTCTCTTGGCTTGGTCCAGCTTCTTCCCCTCCGGTAGGCCTGTTGATTGCCCCGCTATCGTTCTCGTTGCCGAATTTCATTTTTGTCTTTTCTCGTTTTACTCCTAAGCCCTGTATAACAAAACAACACCCGCAATGTCCCTCATACACTTACGCCTTCCCCGCCCCCTTAGGCCGGTAGACATTCCCAAAATGCACCCAGTATCCCTCGCATCACGCCCTTTTTATACATGCGAATGCATCGTTCGTGATAACCCCATATTTTTCCCGTCAAAAACTATGGTACAATGCCCCAAACATCCCTTCCCGTTGTCACACAAGCCAGATATTGCAACCCCCAGGTCATGTTACCTTTCAACCTCAGTCAATCCAAGCCAAAGCACCAGTCCCAAAAAAAATGACAGTCCCACGAACATGGTCAGAGAAAAACCATAGTGTGGGCAAGGCTGTGGTTAGTCTTTAGCTTGTGGCTCTTCTGTTTCCTTATCTTCGGTCTCCTGAAGCCATTGTTCCACTGGGTCCAGACTTAGAAACCTGACCAGTCGTTGCCCCGGGAAGGGCCCTTTCAATCCAGTTTCATCCAAATCTTTCAGTTCGAAGGTGTTCAGTCTCACCCGCTTGGCGACCTGGTAGGGGCCTTTGAACCTCCTTCCGAACTGTCCCGACCAAGTACTTTCTAGTGCCGAGTTCCTTAGCAGTACCATTTCCCCCACCTGAAGTGGCTCCTTTATGACATTCTTAACATGGTCTCATCTTGCTTTGTCCCTCATTCTGCTGTCCAGCACCCGGCCGGCGATGTCTTCCATGACCTCCTCATTCTTAAGGATCTATTGACATCTTGCCTCGATTAACTCTTCAGTGGTCATTTGCGGATCATCATCTAACCTATTCCAGGTAGGTACCAAGGCTTCCACAGGAAAGTCGATCTCTCTTCCGTACCAAAGCTCTGTCGGGATACATCATGTTGTCCTTGTAGGAGTCATATTCTCTGCAAAGACAGCCTGCTTAAGATACCTAGGTCAGTTCCCCAGATGGTCTGCTGCGAGCTTTGCAATCGTGTTCTTCAAGGTTCGGTGCCCCCTTTCCACCGGTGCATTGGCCTCAGGGTGATACGGCTCGATGAGTTTGATCGGTACGCAGAGTCTCTTAAGCATCCCCAATACTTCTTGGTTCACAAATTCCGTCCCATTGTCTGCTATAAACCTTCTGATGAACGGGTGCCTTGAGTAGAAGTTTTCTATCCAGTCTGTCACACTCCTTCCTGTCTTTTTCTTGAGGGCGACTGCCTCCACGAACCCACTCAAGTTGTCTCGCGCATCTAGGATATACCTGTATCCATCCGTTGATACAGGCATGACCGCAAGATCGAGGTGGACCAGATGTCCCGGCCCTAGCACCCGCGTTGGTCTAAGCGGCTCGAAGACTCGTACCGAGCTTCGTTCTTGGCAAATAAGGCAAGTCTGACAGTATATGGCGACCATGCCTGGCCAATAATAGAGCGGCGTTATCTTTGCAAGTGTTCCTTTGGACGACCGATGACCTCCAGCTAACCCGTCGTGCATTGCCTGGATAACGTCTACTTGCCTAGATCTTCCGCACACAACCCTTCTGGGCATAGCACCTTCCTCCCTCCGAAACAAATGTCCGCCCCTTAGGACGTACCTTTCGACTTTTTCTCTTGCCTTAATACTGACTTCCGTAGGTTGTTTGTTTCCTACCAACAACAAACCGATCTCCCGAAAGAGCCCTTCGTATGATTGGACATAGAAAAACTTATCTCCTTCCTTGTCCCCATCCTTTCCTTCCTGCATCTGATTTACCACTCATTGCAACTCTTTCCTTCCCCAAGATTCCACTAAGCTCATCACTGCTTCCCGACCCCCTTCGACCGTCATTGCTATCAGTTCCTCTTTCGGTCATACTATCCTTCCCCATGAGTCATTTTCTTCTCTGCGTCCTCGAGTGGTAACTAGCCCTTCTCTAAGTTCTGCTACTACGGCAGGTGCCCCTTTCTCCAAAGTATGGATCAATAGTTATCCCGATGTGCATTCTCCTCTCATCATTTCGTTATCCACCGCAAGAGTTCCTCCTTCGTATTCGAGGAAGGCGTCTATGGGTTCTGCAGCCTCCATCCCTTCGGGGGTGATGCAAACCCGACTCAGCCCATCTGCCTTGTTGCGGATTCCAGCAATCCGTTCGATCTTGTAATCGAACTGCCAGATGAATCCTACCCATCTTCCTACCGTCGGATCTTTAGGTCTGTAATTCTTTAGGGTCCCTGTGACATTCGTCAGGTCGATCCTTAAGATGAACCGCCTCCCAAATAGGTAGGCCTGGAAGGTCTTAAGGCAATGCAGGATGGTTAGGACTTCCTTCTTGAATTGCAAGTACCGCCGTTCTGCGGAGTTCAGGGATCTACTTTCGAACCTAATCGGCCTCTCTTTTCCTCCCTCATCCCTTTGGATCAACACACCTCCTACGGCCAAAGGTCCTCCATCCGTCTCTAGGATGAAGGGTCGTCCCACTTCGTCATTAAAACAAGGCGCGGACAGGGCGACTGTCTCAGATGTCAATATGTCCTTAAGCCTTTGGACAGCCCCTTCTCGCTCCTCCGTCCAATTCATGGTTCCTTCTTCCCTTATCATAGCCCGGATAGGCTCAGCAATCTTGGCAAAAATCTTAATGAAGATCCTCCAAAAGCCGACTACGCCTACGAATGCGCTTACCTCCGTCGTCGTGCGTTGTGGCATCAGCCACTGTGATATCTTATCGGTCTTTGCCGGATCCGGCTTCCTGCCGTAAGCACCGCAACGAAATCCTAGTATAGTTACCTTTGGTACTGCTATGATACTCTTTGGTTCACTAGCCGTAATGTTGTATATTAGAAACCGGCGGAATATGTCCTTGATGTCCTGCAGGTGGTCCCACACAAAACGTCAGATCCCTGGCTGGACTTCCGTCTCGTCCTTTTCCTGCGCGCCTTTGATCGGATTGTCATCGATGTAAGGTTCACATTTTTCTGGGAACATGTCTCCGGCCACGACGAGCATCCTGCGTTGCGCTTCGGCCACCACGTTTGTGAATCCCATAGGTGTCACCTGCATCTGTAGATGGCTTACGGGGGTGTGCATAGCGGTGTATGGCCTGTCCCGAACATCCAATAGAAGCTGGTCATACCCTGAGTACAGATCTATCAGGGAGTAAATGCTCCGACCGGCATGCGATTCTGCTAATAAGTCAGCTTGAGGTAGCGAGCCAGCATCCCGGATGGTTACCGCATTCAACTTCTGCAGGTCCTGAATCCACCTTAGTGTTTTGTTAGGCTTCCGAAAGACGAACCACCGATTTGCATATGGCGATGCTGTAGGCTCCGCAACGAAGGAGTCCATCTTTGCTCAGAGGAGGTCTGTTACCTCTCCCGCTATCCCAAATTCATAGGATGGTCCCTTGTCATTCCAGCACTCATGTTCTACCGTGTGGATTCTGACCGGAGGGATCAACTTCGCATCTTGTCGTCCCTTCTGGTGATCACTAAAGGCAAACGCCATATGAAATTCCTAGCAGGTCCTTCTGATCAGGCGGTTTTCTTCTTCCGTTAAGAACCCGTCTATCCCTATCTTCATTGTGTCCGCTACCTCATCTGGTATCCGATGTCCCTCCGTCGCCCTTCTTTCTCGGATCACTCGAAGGACCTCTTCCTCCTTCTCCATAGCCTCTTCCTTTGATGTCTCTAGCAGGATCGAGACCGGTTTTGCTTTCTTCCCTACCAGCTTGTACTTTCGAACACTTCCTTCCGGGATCTTTCTCCTAAAAAATGAACAGCCGGAATTGCCCCCGTCGCCTCTATGACTCGTGGTTGAATGCTAACTAATTTCCCATTCAGGCAATATCCCTTTTGGACTTCTCTTTCGAACTTGGCCAAGGCTGTCGAATCCACTCCTACCTTGTGGTATCTGAGGGCCTTGATGAGTTGCAATAGATCGGGAATCTCGAGTGCGATTTCCGGCATGTCTACGCGCACTTCTTTCCGTTTGGGCAGGCTAGCACAAAGTTCGACCTCTGACTCCTTTTCTGCTACCATAACACCTAGGACTTCTTCCTCCTGCCTCCTCTTCTTCTCGGGAAGGCCCATCTTGATTCACTCCTTCTTGTTGAACGCTTCCTCAATCATGATTTCTACCCTTTCTCTCATACCCTCCATTCGTGCGAAAGCCCCTTTTCGTGTGCTATCCTCGAATGACGGCGACCATGTCGCCAATTTCCCCCTCGGGGGGTCTCCTCCCGTTTCAAGGAGTCGGAGGAGCTTTCCCCGGTCGGTCACCGGGTCCTCTATGTCTACCATGTATGAGCCATCGTGCAAGTGCATGCCTATCATCTCTACGTTCGCGCACCACGGTCTCCCGAGGATTATGTAGTGATCCATTTCCTCCATTACAGTCATCCGCTGAAATGACCAGATTGATTCCCTGACCCCTGCCTTTACAGCACACTTCGTGACGTACCCAGCGAACGGGATTTCCCCGCCAGTTCCCCAGATGCTCCCTGTTACTTCCTTGTTTACCGTACATCCCGTGATCGTTGCGAAATCTCTTCTTATAAGGGTGATTTCTGCCCCCCCGTCTACTAATGCGTCAGTGTGATGACTCCCGATCTGGATTTTCAATGTCCCTACGGGTAGCGCATGAAAGCTAAGCTTCGTCCCGGGTAGCGATCTTATGACTTCGCCGCCCTCTCGGTCGGGCAAGCTCAAACGAATGTCTTCAAAGGCCTTCTCGAGATCCTCCAAGTCCCCTCGACTCCTCTGCAGGTTAGCCACTTCTTGCGGAACTTCCTCCTCCCTCTCCCCTTCAGGTAGTTCGGGGTTGTCGCCTATTTCTACTCGCCGCCGGGTCAACAGTTGTCTAAGCCCTTTGAGCAACCTAGGGCTAGCATGCAGCATAGTCTGAAAAGACACCGACACCATGGTCCCTAGTAACTTGCTAATGGTGTCGTCTATCTCAGGTAAGGATAAGATCGGGATTTGGTACCTAAACTTCTTCTTGGCAGCGGAAACTTTGTCGGCAGGCTCCTCTTCCCTAGGTTTCCCATAGACCTTTTCCGGCTCCTCGGCCTCAGGCTCTGCCTGGGGTTCCAAACTTCCAGCAACCTCCTCCATCACGGTATCGCGGTTAATCCTTCTCCCAACTGTCCCTAGCCGAGTAGTCGCATTCACCCTATCACGTCCGTCGTTTTCCAAAATAAAATTGGTCTGCGGCCCGCGCCCCTAGCGTTGATCCCAGATGATCTCGCCCACCGGTTCGGCTTCTACGGCTGTTATTTCTAGCCCGTTGAGCATGATAATGGCTCGCCGCATCCCTCCTGGCGAGTTCCAGTTCACCCGTTCCCCTAGTGGTCCAAATATCTCCCCCTTTAATGACCTGGTACACCTTCTTTTCAGAATATCATGGTTGAGCTTTGGGCACGCGCGCACATAATGTCCTATCGTGGTACAGTACTTGCATTGCTCGTTAGCAGGGTCTCTCCGTCCGAACCCACGATTGGCCATTCCTGACGGAACTACTGCTTCCTGGGGCGGGAGAGGGGGATGGGATACTTACGCCTGCATAACTAGTAACGCGCTCTCCATCCTTTCAATCTTGTTGTCGACTCCGTACACCCATTCGTGTAGACTTTCAATCCTCTTTTTCACCTTGTCGCCCGTCCTACTGGTCAAGTCTATAGTCTCCCCTTCCTTAAGCAAGGCCAACGTCTCAGTCACTACCGTCTTTTCGGCCAGATCCATTACCGTACTGAAATCAACGTCCCTGGTGTTTACAAATTTGCTCGTCTGTTGGTAAGCCGATCTTGTCTTTGTCGAACTCGGAGAACTGTCTGAGGAAATACTTACTCATTATTCGATTGGTAACCCCGGGGATTCTTAGAGGTACCAAAGTAAACTCCCGTAGGAGGTCATTGTACGTTGCGAAGTTCTTTCTCTGGATTGCCGCTAAATCGCTCCCCGTTGCCATCTTTTCGAGAGAAGGTTAACCGACCCCCCATTTTTCAGGTCAATTTATAAGAAAACCAAAGGTCATTTCAAGCAAACTCCACACCAATGTATAGAGTGCACTTCTTACTAACATATTTAAAAAAAAAAAA